CATCCAGAAATCAAATTGTCTAGTTTCTCATGATAATTTTCGTGTTCAGGCATTCTAGAATGACTCATATGTCGCATGCACTTTTTGCAGTACACATAACTCTCGGATGAAATCCGAAGTTTCCACATTTATTTTATTAACGATTGATTATATAATGTCACTTTCAGAACTTGATATTTCTCATCATATCAGCACTATTCATATTGTATCAGTTTTTTGATAAATTTGGTGCAATTATAATCAATGAAAATATTCTGAAAGATTAAAAAATGTGATGGATAGCACGCTTTTCCATGTGTTTATTATCGTCTATTTGTGTCCAAATGTTTCCGGCTGTCGTCCAACAAAGATGAGAGAATAAATCATAGAGTTGACGGAATGTTTCACATTAATGTCAACCTTGTTTATAGAGACAATAAAGCTGAATGTTAAAAAAGAAATGTTTCACATTACGACTAAAGAGAAAATTTTAATGAAAAATGCTTCATACAAACTATGTTTCTTTATATATAGTTGTCTAATAAACAAATTATTTTTTTTTATTACAAAACGGTTAAAAACAGAATTGTTTTTCATGTTTCTCTTCAAACATATGAACTTTTCATGAAGACATCTTGATGATCGACAAGGAATAATGTAGAATTTTTGCATTGCTTTTTGTTTGAAGTCCATTAAGATAATTCAGAGACAAGTCTTTACTACAAAACTGTATAGAAATATAGTGTTAAAAATACTAACCGAAGCCTAAACTCGTTTAAGAACATGTTTGATATGAAAAATGCTTAGTAATTTCACAAAATTAGTAGTGAAAAATCAGTTGAATCAATTATTTTTGCATTCCGCTTTCGAAATATTTCATAGGTGCTATATATCAACGTCACAAATGCGATGTCGACTTTCTAGTAGTATCGAAATATCCGAATTGTAAAACTACGGATTCAATTAGAATGAATTTTATTAAAATTTGATTGTTCCGCTGCAATCAAATATAGTTACTGGTTAATTTTGATTGCAAGGATATTTTATTTTTTGGAATTACTAATTTCTAATTATTCGTCACTGGCAAGACCTATAAAAAAATGTATTCATTTCGATTTCAATCGATCAATGATGAAAAATAAGAGCATTATTTTTGTGAACGGAATTTTTCTTTACAATTTTATCTACATCTGCGGAGCTTTTCAGCAAGTATTTTGAACAAAAGGTTTTTACTCGACTTTTTATTAAGACTATCATCTTACCGAACAAGTAAATAATAAACTATTCGGTACGACTTATTGCTATGCAATATTGAAAATAAATTATACCGAGAATTTGGATACAATTCCTTGATAAGTTTCCAACAAGAGTGGCATGCAACAGAACTTGCATTCATACTGCTAAAAGTTTTAGAGAAAAATAAAACATTGTCTTGAACTTTCGTAGATCATACCAGAGACGTGCACAGGACATCATTTTTTCTCCTGTCCTTGCCTGTTCTGTTGGCTACCTTGGTCCTGGCGGAAGGCAAGATAATACGTTAAAGTCATGCCCGGGTGTGCGTTACTGATTTATTCCGATCTTTCTAGTGACTGAAAACTAATTATGAGTCCGAAGTTCGGACTCCGAACCCTAGCTATTCTCGATCAAAGTAAATATTAGTATTAGTAACCTTAGGCTTAATTTATTTGACATCATGTTCAAATACAACAAATACACTTTAAATTATCACTAATTTATAAATACAATAAAATAGGAAAATATCTTAATTCTCGCGACAAGAAAAAAATATGAACAAGATTAATTGCAGCATGAATGTGATAACTTAAACTTGATACTATTTAAAGAAACAATAACAATTAGGCAGTGTTTTACCACAAAATTAAAAAAAATGAAAAATACACAAAAACAAGTTCATACTAGAGACGTGCACAGGACATAAGCTTTTCTCCTGTCCTTGCCTGTCCTGTTGGCTACCATGGTCCTGACAGGCGGCAGGACACGACAGGACACCAGAACAATAGGACCGTCCTGCTCTGTGCACGTCTCTGATATTGATCAAAAAGAATTTTTTTTAATACAAATTTTGTGACATTTCATATTTGAAAATGACATACTCTAGATGAAAGAATGCAATGCTCTATGCTCCTCAAAATTGCTACTTCAACCTTTGTGCCTTTTCTCACATT